CTAGGCTGACCGCCTTTCAAACTTCCTATCCAAACTTAGATCCCCTGCCTTTTGTGTTTTATTTATCGGAAAAATTGCACTATATAGCCGCTGTAAAAATAATAGCCGAAAAAATGTATAAAATTTGTATATTTTTTTTGTGTATATATATACATTATGGATGTTATATACAAAAATGATATAAATTTTATATACTTTTTCGATTACCGGATGTAAATAATTTTCTGGCGCGGATTAAAAGTGATAATACCCCTTATTTATCTCCTACCCAGCTCGGTGCCCTCCCTCTTCCCCCATATACATTCCTCTTCCTCGGTTACATATTTGATGCGACTAAAGTGCTAGCTAGGGCTTTTCAACATTTTGCAGTAAATCTAAATTAGAGTTCTTCTATTGAATTACAGATTTTTTTTTATGGCCAAAAAAAAAAAAACTACGTATTCTTCTTTCGTGATTGACACAAGAGTACACAATTTTGAATTTCTAATAGGAATATAAGTAAAATATTGTGTGCTTCATATAATTCAAATAAAAGAATATAGAATAGCCAAATTTTTAATTAATTCCAAAGTTCTAAATATTAGGGTCTGTTTGGAAAGCAACCCGGTAATTGAAATTGGTATAAATACTAGGGTAGTAAATTACACAATATAGTAATTACCTGTTTGTTTGTCATAACGTAATCACAATGTAATTACAAGCATACTGTTTGGTTGCACAATTGTATTTAATTTACACGATTAAATTAAATCTTAAATGAAGTAATTATCAAAACTTAAAAGTTAATATAATAAATATATGCATATAAATGCTATTAGATTTGGTATTTAAGATGCATATTTTTTCTTAAATATACATTAATTAGTAATCATATATTTATAGCTAATATTGTAAAAATAATTGATATATATTTTCTAAACTAATAATATTTAATTTAATTAATTAAAAAAACTAAAAACATACATTTTATAAGAACATCAGGGAATGCATGTTTGATAAAATAAGTTAATATTTATAAATATAACGTCATAACATTATTCAAATATTTGATAAAATTAATCTATTAATTCTAACTAAATAATGAACAACATGCAATGTGAAATAACAAATCAATACTACTAAAACATGTAAATTAGAATAAAAAATATAACACAATTTCAAAATCCAAAAAAAATAAATTAACATATGTCAAATTCCAACATAAAAAAATAAGTTCCAATACAACTTAAGATTAGAAAACATTCTAAGTTTATAACCTCATTCAACAACAAAATTCTCCTTTAATGACATTACTCATTATATGCCAAGTTTGTTAATGACTCATTATTTCTAATATTAGAAGGTGTAGTTTAAAAAACTAGAATACTTACACAATCACGCTAAATGAAGAAAATAAGACAAATAAGAATTAAAATATACGATCAATTATATGGAATCACAAGAAGTAAAGGTAGAAAAATAAAAGACAAATAATGTACAAAGAAAAATATATTTTAAAATTAAAAAGAAAAAATAAAATAAAAAGAAATTAAACTAATGGAATAAAAAGTTACGAAGAAAATAAATTAAAATAAAAGCAAAAAAGAAAGAAATCAAAAAGTAACCTTGTAACTACATAGTGTAATTACCACCAATTCTCACATCCCCTTGAAAATTGGAAAGTGTAATTACACCTCTCCAATTACACCCAATTTAATGCTGACCAAATAATTACTTGGCCGGACAAACATGTCAAACTGTGTAATTACATCCAATTACACTCAATTATATTCCTAAGTTGCTTTCCAAACAGACTCTTAGTATTATTATTAATTATATAACATAGGGAAAATAATGTTTAACTAACAAGACTTAGATTGAATTAATTTCTCAAAATTTTATGCGTTCGTGCTTTTAATTCCTAGTATGAATTAGTTTGTCAAAACTTTATTAACTAAGAATAAATATCCTAAACCTAAGAAGTGAAATTTAATACTCCTAAATATTACTGGAATAAAAGTCAACGAAGTGTGTAGGCTATTGGATTTCTCCCTCGCAACTCACCTTCTATTTTCCTTACCTTCTATCTTGTCTAAGCTCGCTGGATTTTCCTCATCCGCTGTATTGAATCAAATCCTCAGTAGCCATATCGAGAATGAACCAATGCCAACAGAGGAGTTATAAGCGAGCAAGAAAACTCTATGGCTAAGAGGACTGCGACAGTGAAGGGTGGGATGAGCCCGAATGCCCACTTTGGGATATCCTATAGGTTTTAGTCAAATATAACCGAGGGAATAAAACGAATCGTCTCTTTTATATGGTTAACACGGTGCCGAAAGGTTTGATGCACGTTCCTAGTTTTGCCGGAAACACTTTGGACCAGCTCAATTCAGGAAGTTCAGAGGGTAGGAGATATGGAGAAAGGAAAGCATTTGAACTCATTATAGTGCACATCGGCTTGTCTTTCTTGCTCGGTGATCAGTCAATGAAGTCATTTTGGATCCCTGTCTCGTCTCATTCTGAGTCTTTGGCCTGATTGACATTGGGTCAAATCTGTCATCTGGGCATTGTCTCTTCTCTTGATCTGCTTCGGTTACAACTCCATAGTGAGTTTTGAGGGTCAAGTAAAGGATTGAGAAACAATTTGAATATAAGAATTTTGGTCAATAATTATAATTCTTGTTGTATAGATTTATGACGTGTAATTAAATTAAATTAAATTAAAAAGGGTAGTAATCTTTCACACTCAGCTAGAGAAAAAATTAAAAAAATGATAAATCCGATGCGTTGACGCCACAAATTCTATTCCCAAAAATCATATTTTGACTGTGTTTCCACTATTATCAACTGTATTTGAACTGTTAAATAATCATAATCGATGATAATATCACTGTACCCGTCACTATTACAGAACCGTACGTGAGTTTTTCACCTCCCTAGTGTTTTCCAAATTAATCTCGCGGATACGTATAATTAAAAAGAATATGTGAGTGGTTCATACACAACATCTCTTTCCTTTATCAATGGTTCGACCAATTGATATATTTCCACAAATAATTAAAATTTAATTTATTGATCTGTATCTTCAATGTTTGGAAACTTATAAAGTTCTTTCGTCAAACCTTGATCAATGAACCTACAAGATCCTTCAAATTATATCTGATTACATATTTGAAGTGGCCCATTTCGTATCAGAGAAGACTATGTATGAACAAAGATTAGTTTTACTTCCCAGCCTAGCTACTCTACCTAGTTTGAAAGAGAAAAAGAGTAGAGATATGTGAAAAAAGAATACTCCTAACTAACCTAACTAACCAGTCAAGTGAAAGGAGCCCACTACCCGCTCCCCTTTCCCTCCATTGCTAGATTTGAATGAAAGAAATAACTAATTACTCTTTCTACTGCAGGTATTATTTTTTATTCAAACAATAATAAAGAAAGAATCATGGTAACCGTTCGATCTGACGAAATTAGTAATATTATCCGGCCTGACGTTCGAAAATGTTGCATTGTACTTTCTATTTAAAGCAGTGTGCATCTTCGCTTCAGAGGACTTGTGGTAGAGAATTTAACCATTACTCACTTCGATCGCGAACCCATCTTTCTGACACGCTCCTAGGGTCATAATCCCCTCTTTTTATCGAAAAACTTATATACATACAAGAGGGATGATTATAGTGATTGTGTTAGTTCAGATCTATCTTTCCTTCGGAACCTTGGCAAAGGTTGTTTGCATTGCCAAGAAGGATACGTTCTCTAGCATTATCACTCAAGTCTTAGACTTGGATATGTGTTGTCTCTGATATTTGATATTAAGTTAGTCTAATTCCAAACCAACTGTAGTACCTAAGCTATCCTTCAACACCTTACTCATTACGTAAATAAGGGGCCCTTACAAGAAGTCCTTGGACTAGGGAGATCAAACATCTCCTCGGGAATAAGACGTAACTCTTGGGGTTTCTTTTATAATAAAAAAGAAAAAATAAGATTCCCTTCCAATACGGGCTCAAAGGCCGACCTCTTCCGAGCCAAAGCTAAAAAAGAAGCCGGAGCTTGGTCCACATCGAGAAGAAAACGTTCGCAATGAACAAATCTCCGATGGTCGAGCCTGCCAAGGACATGAAACCCAGCCCCACCTACCCAAGTCCTAGTACAAACTGAAAGTGCTTCAAATTCTAAAGAACCGAAAGGGAATTGAAAAATCAAAATTCTAAATATTAGGAGATAATTAAATGATTATTTCTAAATAGTAGAAAATTAATTAAATAAGTATTCTTAAATATTAGAGAAATAATAGACCATAAATAGATAAATAGATATAGAAAGATATAAATAGATATAGATTTGACAATTAATTGCACACAAGTAACATCTTTTTATATCAAACAAACATATATGTTTATACCAAGTAATCGTGATTCTAACGATTCGATGAATATTTTGTTCAATAATAAATAAGTGGACAAAGTTAACACTTCAAGGTTTTTTCTTCTTTTGGAATAATTAGATTAGGTAGTAAGATAAAATAGAATGAATAGCAGTTAAATTTCGAAGTGGTTTAGCGAGACAAAAAGCACAACAATAACACTATTAAAGAGAACTACTCACATTTTTCAGATATTTACGCATATATCCTAAGTAATTTCAACTATGTATATACATAAATGTCTCTACTTTCATTTATCCTCTGAAAAAATTATACCACAATATGCTATTAAAATATTACATACTTTTATAATATAGTTTTTTCTTTCATTTCATGTCACAATACTAATTGATAGGAAAGTCATTTTCCAAAGAAGATAAGATGTGCTAAATATGATACTTACAATGATGTACGTGTAATTCTTTCTTCCTGTTTTTAAATAGACGAAAGAAAAAAAAGCAAAAAATAAAAAATTGAAGTGGGCACGTGGCAAGAAACTGAAAGATGAAGAATTCAAAGAAATGCATGCACACAAAATCCTCACAACCTTTATTTGTGTCTTTGTCTTACTCTCATATTATTTTCGTGACTCTCTTTTTCTTTTTTAACTTTCTTGTGCTTTTTTTTTTCTCCTTAACAAAAATCAAAATGATTAGTGTATTTCATGCACATCTAATTTAATCCTAATCACTGCCTCCAATTTATCAGCCACAACTTTAATTCCACATTCTTATTATTTTCTCTACAACCCAAAACAAAATATCAGAAAGAAATTTTAACTGAAATAACAAGTTTAAAGAAGAAGAAGAAGAAGAAGAAGAAGAAGAAGGAGGCGGTGGCCGGTGGTGGGTTCGGTGTATAGAGGATCTGAAATTGGTTATATTCTGTTAACTGCTGGAATTAGTAAAGCAATTTTCAGGTACACTTCATTTGTTTGATTTAATGTCTATTTGAATTGCTATTGTACTCTTCAAGTTTGTAGTATAGTAATATCTAATGGTTATGTAATGTAAGGAAACAGTGTAATCCGTGTTTTTTGATAATCGTGGTGTTCGGGCTAGTTTGCACGCACCTAGACCGATTCCACAGGTACCAGCACACGTACGGATAACAACGAGAAGAAATCACTTAGTGTTTTTGACTACGCTTAGATTTGAACATGAAATCTCATGGTTCTCAACCCATTTCGTTGACCATTAGGCCACACTGTTGGGTGTGTAGCGGAATCTGTGTTGTTTGATTTATCCGCAGTAATTTGGGTTTCAGTCTATATAAGATGCTGAAGAGAGAGCTGCAAAAATAAAAGATGTTTCTTTTATGGTAAAGTAGCAATTCCATTGTAAAGTTTAGCTAAATCTTGAAAAGGGTTTGAGTTAACCTCACTTCTTGTAGGTGCTGTGGTGAGGATTTGGGATGGAGAAAATAAAATTGGTACTTATCATTTTTCTTTTGTGATTTTTGCCTTGAAAGGAGAATTAGTTCGTATTGGAATGAATAGGTCCAAATAGAGCGGAGCAGGTATATAATTCATATAGCCAACTCCAATTAGTTTGGGATTGAGGCGTAGCTTATCGATTGATATTCTTTTGTGATTTAAGAATTTTATTATCTTTTACCTTTTCCAATTGTGATTGCTTTTTCTAGATTTTTATTATCTTTTGCCTTTTTCGGTTGTGATTGCTTTGTCTCATATTAACAGTCTCCACTAATGGCCAAAAAAATAGAAGTCTGAGCTAAAAGAACACCTGCTGTGAGATACGAGATATCCCAATTAAAGCTTGATTGTCATTTCTTTAGATGTTGGAGAATATTTGAATTGGTAGTTATATAATCTCTAGCAGATGATAGTAGGCAGTGATGTGTATGATAATCTGAATGTGCGCTGAGTTCCCTTTTTCTCTATGCAGTATATATTGGAGACACATACATATTGGTAGTAGCACGAGCAGTAGCAGATGATTATTAGATAATGATGAGCATGATATCCTGGAAGTTGCATTCATGGATACACCTGAAAATAAGAAGCTCAATGAGATAGTTGACATAGTAAAATCATGGATCCCGAGAAGGACAGAGCAGGTGAGTGTGTCCAGGGATTTCTGGATGCCCGACCAGAGCTGTAGGGTATGCTACGAGTGCGACTCTCAGTTTACTGTATTTAACCGCAGGCATCATTGTCGTCTCTGTGGCCGAGTTTTCTGTGCCAAATGTGCATCAAACTCTGTTCCTATCCCAAATGAGGAGCCCAAGGCTGGCCGGGAAGATGGAGACAGGATAAGAGTATGTAACTTCTGTTTTAAGCAGTGGCAGCAGGGGTTAGCCACGGTTGATAGTAGGATGAACCTTTCTAGTCCAGGCCTCAGCCCATCTCCTTCTACCACAAGTTTGGCCAGCAACCAGTCGGGCTGTACTTGTAACAGTGGTAGCAGTGGCAGTTCAACTATTTACCCTACCGGGCCATATCAGCATGTAACATGCAGATCATGCGAAAGCGCTTCTCAATCAGTTCAGATGGGTCCTACTGCTCTCCAGTTAGACCAAGAAACATCTCCGGGGAATCCAGATTTTGGTCATTTTGTCTCTTGCTACAGGTATCTATTATTAGTGTCATATGTATAGACAAACAACATGTATAAACAGGATTTCATTTCCTTTACGCCCCTCTTGCTAGTTTGCTGACACATTTAAATTGCGTAATCGCTGCAATCTTTCCCTCCCGAGACCCCACTCCCTCCCCAGACTTCACTTGTGGGACTATACTGGTTTGTTGTTGTAATCGCTGCAATCTTATTTAATATATGATCAAAAGCCTAATTTGCATGTTGCTAGATCCACATATGGAACAGCAGACACTAGCTTTTAGCTGATCTTTATATGTGATCCTGGATTAAGAAACCGCCCGTTCCCGCCGCGCTCACGGCCCCGCTGGCCTGCCAGCGGTAGTGGGAATTCTCCCGTTCCCTGGTCAAAGACTTGGTTGGATGCGGGATCTACTCCACGAGGAGCGGTACGGACGTAGATGATATCATCACGACCCCTCTTTTCGTACCGCTAGGGATGCTTAACGCCACTTCGCCAACTGGCGTTACCTGCGCTTTCGTGTCTCTCAGTGTGGTCAGCACTGGGTGTTTCCGAGCAGCGAGGCTTACACCCATTCGCATTAGTTCATCCAAGGTTCCTTACCCTTATGCACGAATTATTGAATAAGCCATCTTCCTATCANTTACAGTACTTCAATTAACAAAAGATACTTTTTCAAGGGTTTTTAACAATTTTTAGTTTTTTTGATTTATGGCTCTTCTATTAGTGCTTTGAATTTATTGTCTGTCCATTTGTGAGTTGTAAAGCCTCACTGCCTTAGAATAACTATCAGTATTTAGTTGCTGATTGTGCTATGTAAAGAATTTCTGGGATAAAAGTTGATTGGTAAACTTGATCAAAGGTATTCTCTAGCTAAACAAATTTAAACCCCAGTTGGTAAATCCAATACTGGTCTTGATCTGGTAAACCGAACAAAGAATAAGAAACTTAATGTCACCCCATTGTTGCTATATTTAGAGCTGGATATGAGCTGAATCACACCAGCTTTGAAGGTTTGAACTTGGTTTAGCATATATATACAAGGCTCGAATTGAGCTTAACCTTGTTTGGATTAAGTTTTTACGAGCTCAATCTCGCCTCAGCTCGGCCTTTTGTATAACAAACTAAGCTCGAGCTCATTCATATAATTAGTTGGTATCAAGTCATTTGGACAAATTAGAAATAGGGTTTTATTTATGCCATGTCAACACCAGATCGTAGGTGTGACATCTGTTGACTGAAGATTTTAAAACAATGGGATAGACCTATATGTTGGGCGAAGCATGTCTGGAAAGACGTACAGTTTTTTAGAATTCATGTGGACTTAGCAAAGAACAAAATATATTGGAAGCAAAATATCCTTAAAGGCAACACCAACTACTTGAAATTTAGGTTAGTCGTTGTAAGCACACTAAGCCTGAATGCAGATTCTACGAAAATGTAGGGATATGTCTAAGATTTAGAGGATCCCTAGTTTTAGATAATCTTAGGACACATTGTGGAGTAGTGCAATGAATGTGTCCAACTGGAGCGCATCAGATATTTAGGATGTATATAGCTGACCGCATCTAGTTTGAGATTGAGGGTTAATTATTGTTGTTGTCGTTGGATTTATGCCGTATAGGCAAATAACTCAGTTAAAAATCTATATTCGAACCATAGGAAGAAAGGGGTTGCAGTTTTAATCTCACGAGAGCTAACCTGTGTTTGCCCCCGGTGGTGGGGGTGGTGCTGGGGTTTACCTGCTGCTGGTTTCACCGGAGAAAATGATGAGGAATGGAATTTCCAGAAAAAGAGAACTAGAGAAGCAAAGTTCGCCAGATAAGGAAGACTGTGTGAGTGGAGTTGCTGGCCCTTTGATCTGAACTTGCTGCTCAGAAGCTCAACATTATTAAAAAAAGGGAGAGGGGGAATCTGATGGCCATATGGCCTAGGTTAATAGGAGCTGTGGCCTGTGGAGGTCACTGGTGATGTTGAAGACGATTAATTGAAATAATGATGATGAAATGGAGGAGGAGAGAAGAGAGCCCCGGTGGTCGCGGTTTTGGATTTCGGAAGCCGGAAGGGTTGACAAATTGGAAACACTAAAGTGGAAAGTATCCTGAGTTTTCGCGAATATTAAATGGGTTGAGCTTTTGCAAGTTTGTTCTGTTTGATAAACTTTAAGATGGATCTTTTTTTGGCCTTGATATACCTGTGTTGAGAGGGTGTGACATTGGAATAGGTTCTTAATTCAGATAAAATTAGCCAAAAACTGGAACTGTACTGAACACTTGTGAGTGACCCATATCGGATATAGTTATGTACCTTAGTCCGTGTACAAGAGCTTGCCAATAGGATTTACTCTGTTTCTTAATCATATAAATGACCCAAGTTTGAGCTTGTAGGAGCCGAGCAAGCTTTACTTGGATATTGTGAGAATGCACGGGAGAAAAATCTATTTTATAACCGTGATACAATGATTCTATATATAATATTCTACGCCTACTACATATGGGACTAGAACATATTTTATTCCTACTACATACAGGACTTAGATTATTTACGCATAACTATCTAACACTCCCCCTCAAACGGTGCATACAAATCATATGGACCGAGCTTGTTACATATGTAACTAATACGAGGACCAATGAGGGACTTGATGAAAATATCTGTAAGCTGATCATTCGACTTCACTACGAGTCATGCCAAACTCCCGGATAACTGTGCTGAACTTACCAAACGAGACTCGAGGAGACTGCTCTAGACCATCAAGTAACCGGCGCAAGCGACGTACAAGGCCACTAGACTATCCCTTAGCAACAAAACCAGGTGGTTGCTGATAAATAGAAGTTGGCCGAAAATTTGGCGGAAATTTGAAATTAGTAAGACTAAGCTGAATTCCACACTATAAAATAGGTTCTTCAACACTACCAGAAAATAGAAACTTTTTTGGAAATTACTGTTCAGGTCGGAAAATCACTGCATGCCCGAAAAATGCACTGTTCATACTGGAAAAAATAAAAGTTGTCAGAATTTGATGTAATTTGTATAGCTAGGCTCGGAATCACTGGAAGAGTAAGTTGTCCTGAAGAAGTTTTGTCAAAAAGTGGCCGAAATGGCTCGCACGTGCCGGAAAAGTTGCTGTAGCTCGCCAGAAAATTCCAAAGTTCTCAGAATCTATAGGAAATTATACCCGGTGGATTTGGAATCACCCCACGAAACAACTGTCCTAAAGAAGTTTTTGAAAATTATGTTTGGAAATTGCTCCACGCGCTGGCGCATGTGTTAGACGCGCTCGCTGGAACCCTAGTTTTGGTGGCGCGTGGAGGCAGGTGAGGGACTTCCGGCTAGAGCGATTGACCGGGGTTTTGTCGCCTAACTTTTCCGAACAAGATGTTAGTGTTGGTTTTCGCACAAGACTTACCATTGAGGAGATAATGCAAATCAATCTTGAGTCGTCAACTGGAAAGACGCACGGTGACTGACTTTTCTGTTCCGATGAGACTGGGATTTCTGGGCCCTGGGGTTTGGTCGCACAAGGGTTTCGGATCTGATGGTGGTACTGGTATATGCACAGTATCACTGTAACAGTGATGAACCCTGGGAACAAGACGAAGTTGCCGAAAAATTGCATGGAGACGAGATCTTTCTTCCCGGATTCCGTTGGAATGACGCGCAACAATAATTTTCTCACTGAAGCTCTGATATCATGTGAGAATGCATGGGAGAAAAATATATTTTTTAACAATGATACAATGAGTCCTATATACTCCTACTACATATGAGACTAGGACATATTCTACTCCTACTACATATGAGACTAGGATTATTTACACATAACTATCTAATAGATATGTCAGTTCATTTACTGCTATATCATATTGTAGTCCAGTAAAATCTTTCTGGAATAAAAAAGGGTGATTTATTTGTTATCTCTAGGTCAAGAGTCTTCTTGCGACTAATTCTTTATTCGGTTATTCCCAATTTGAAACCTGTTGTTAAGGGATTATAGAAACTCAAGGCCGCTCGTAGCTCCGATATTATAATACAAAGGTATAATAACCCTGCCATAACCTATCCAATTACTAAAGACCCATAACAGGAGGGTCTTTTTTTTTTTCCTTGTGGCTCTGCCTTGTTTACAAGTTTAAGGATTTTCGGGAGGGGAGAGCTATATTTTTTGAGGAGCACCCTCTGAGTTGCAGGTTGGATTATTTTGTATGGGCCAAGCATGTATAGTATCATCATGACCGATAGATGAGACACTTGAAATCAGACCTTTACTTTACCTGCTCCTACGTATAATTTCATGTACTATTTCTTGGAAAATATCATCTATTCAGTGTATGTTTCAATTAGCTATCTTACTTAGCATTGCTATGGCAGGAGTGATGATGAGGATGATAATTATGGTGTTTGTGGATCACATTCGGAGCCAAGGCACTTTACTCCACCAGATGTCTATTATGGTGCTTTCAACTACAAGGAGATGAATAATATTTGTGGACCAAGCAATGCACAACCTGCTGAAATTGAATCAAATAGTGTAAATTCTTCATTATTGGCAGAGAAAAGTGAATGGCATAACTCAGAAGGGATGAAAGAGGTTGGGAATGAAGCAGATACTTGTATCAATGGTATCGGGCGTGAAGGTCCTCCTCCCTGTGTTGTGAATGATACAGATAATGCACCTGTTGACTTTGAGAATAGTTATTTACTCTGGTTGCCACCAGAGCCAGAAACAGAGGAGGATGACAGAGAATCTCTTTTATTTGACGAGGATGATGATGGTGGTGAAGAAGCCCAAGGGGAGTGGGGTTACATGGATTCATCGTGCAACTTAGCTGGTGGAGAGTACCATAGTAGGTATAGGTCAACCGAAGAGCATAGAAATGCCATGAAAAATGTAGTTGATGGACATTTTAAAGCTTTGATTGTGCAGCTTTTGCAAGTTGAAAACATTCCTCCAGCTGAGGAGGATAATAAAGAGAGTTGGTCGGAGATAATCACATCTTTATCCTGGGAAGCTGCTACACTCCTAAAGCCTGACATGAGTCAAAATGGAGGAATGGATCCTTGTGGATATGTGAAGATTAAATGCATTGCCTGTGGACATCGTAGAGAAAGGTTTTTCTACATCAGATTATATGGCTTCCTATTTTGACCTTAACAAACTTTATCATATAACTTCTTTTCATCTTCTCTATATAAGAACTACAAATAAACCTAACGTTCGACACCTAAACAAAATGTTGCTGTTGTGTATCGTTGCAGCTCAATTGTGTTTCCCCTGCATTCAAACTTGATTCTTGCTTATTTTAGTTATAGACTTTCCGTTTGTCTTTGATTAGACTCCTATTCTGTGCTGCAATTACTTCTGATTGTCAACCAAATAACTGCAGGCTCCATCATGCAGGAATCAGATTTTTGAGTTGCTTGTTTTTATGCTTGCACTGATTCTAAGTGATGTGTTTAAATTGGTGCCTAATGTTAATTTTACATCGGGAGCAATCCTATTGAATGATTCTTTCACTTGGTTTCTGGCATCATTGTGCTTTATTTTTCCATTAAATAATTGGTCATACTCTGCAAGTTTTCTTAAGTTTATTTTCCTTCTGCTGATAAAATTCTCCTTTATGCTATTTATTAGTATGGTGGTTAAAGGTATTGTTTGTAAGAAAAATGTGGCGCACCGGCGAATGACCTCAAAAATAGATAAGCCTAGACTCCTACTCCTTGGAGGAGCACTGGAATATCAACGGGTGGCTAACCATTTGTCAAGTTTTGACACTTTATTGCAGCAGGTTTTCACTCAATCAAATTCTTTATTGATAATTTTTATTTACTTGATAGGATGAGGAAATGGGGTCTTCCGGAAACAGCCTCTCTGCCTTCTTGAAGGTAGGGGTAAAGTCTGCGTACATACTACCCTCCCCAGACCCCACTTGTGGGATTACGCTGGGTATGTTGTTGTTGTTGATAGGATGAGGAAATGCAATTCTGCCCCAGACTGCAGGATCTTTTTCGTTTTCAGCACCTGGTTGTCGTTTTGTCTCTTAGCTATACCTCCTTATCACTCTTTGTCCTTCACTAGACATTTTTGAAGTTCGTCTACATATTAAGTTTTTGTGCAAAATGCACCATCTCTCTTGTTCTTTTTCCTTGCACATCAACTCAAACTAATAGTTCTATCTACTTAATAAAACAGCCTTTGCCTCATAGAAAAGGTTTGAAGTGGTTTTGTATCATATACTGATCATGAAAACAAAATTAACGACTGAAATACACGGATAAGATAATGGCTGGTCCATCATATGGAATTGTTTCCTTTAAGATTCTGAAGTGAACTATTTAAAAGAAGCTGGGCAATCGAATATGTATAATATCATTGCTATTGCTTTGGAGAGATTTTTGAGTTTCTAGGACCCATTTCCTGTACATTTTTTTTTTGATTGTCCAAGGAAAAGTATTGATTTCAGCAACACGTAAGTGCTGTAAAAATTTACCATTTCCTGTACATTTATTTGCTGGGAGTACTTTGAATTTTAGGAAATTCTTAGATTTGATTAGTCTTTTTTTTGGTTGGGCTGGAAAGAGGAAGAGTTGCTTGAGGGGGAGAAAGAGTGGAAAGGTAAGAGGTATTTTCCCTTGTTTGATTAGCAAGTGAAAGAGAAGTAAAGGTAAAAGTGGAGGGTCGTACTTCCTTTCATCATCATTCTTTTGATCCTTCCAGAATTGGACAAAAAGGAAGAAGCAAATGTTTACTAGTTCCTTTCCAGCTAGTACTGAAAAACTGAAAGGGACTATAAGATACATCCCTTGATGGAAGTAACTCACAAAGTCTCCCCTCATTTTCGAGTTAAACGGAGTGTTAGACCTAAATTTGAATCTTCTAGGCCAATGCGTATTGTCAATCAGCTTAATCTATATTTGACGAGAAGTTGCAATTGTATCTGTTGTAACATAGAAAAATATGGTCTGCGCTGATGGAAGATCTTGGATGGAGTGCAGAGTGGGGAGGTAATAAGTATGGGGAAGTTGGGGAATGAGAAGGACGAGGAAACGAGAGGATGTAAGTCAGGGGAAGCTGGTTAGTGAGTCTATGATGGTGCAGGGGGTAGGCTCAAGGAGGTCTCTTCTATGTGCAAGTGTTTCGGTATTGTACTTCACGTTTTTCTATAAATTCTGTTATATACACGTTCTGTTTCATTCTGTATCAGTTTATTCTGATTTTGTTTTTCTTTTCATCAAAATAGTAGACTGGTTCTTGCGATGACTTTTACAATGTACTTTCTAAGTATTCACGGGATAATACAATAGATACCAACAACAACAACAACATACCCAATGTAATACAATAGAGACCATAGGGAGAAAATATTTTTCAAGGGAGTAACTGAAATGATTATTAGGGGCTACGGTGCCCTTTATGATCATTGGAGGTGTTTCTTTGGTTTCTCGTAAGCTGGAATACTCTTAACTTTTTGTTATCCATGGTGTTGAGAAAGGCATACTAGGGAGGCCCAATTGCATTATTTGGTTCATCACTTTTATTTGGATTCACATTGTTTGGTTCATAACATTTACTTGGACATTCTTTCTTCTAGGAAATGGACCATCTAAAGATGGCTGTTGCAAAGATTGATGCTCATCATCCAAGCATTCTGTTAGTAGAGAAGTCAGTATCTCGATTTGCGCAGGAATACCTGCTTGCGAAAGACATATCTCTGGTTCTCAATGTGAAGCGGTCACTTTTAGAGCGTATTGCCCGTTGTACAGGTGCACAAGTAGTCCCTTCAATTGATAATCTTACAACGCCAAAGTTAGGGTACTGTGATTCGTTCCATGTTGATAAGTTCGTAGAAGAGCATGGTAGTGCTGGGCAAGCTGGAAAAAAATTGACAAAGACCTTGATGTTTTTCGAGGGATGCCCAAAACCATTTGGTTGTACTGTAAGTCACATGTTTAATGGCTTGCTCAGTTGTATGTTAACTGGAGCATGAAATAAATCTGAATTGTGTAGCATACTACATTCTACAGGTTTAGTTTACACCCAATTTCTTTATGGCGGACATGGTTATATTTCTTCTTTGTAGCTTTAACAACTAATAACCAAAACTATTCTTAGTTGAAAATTCTGATAAAAGAAGAAAGAATAATACTTTGGTATAAATACTCACTGGTAGGATATGATATTACAGTTGACCACTCATCTCAATGTTTAAAGCTACAAAGAAGAAATATAACCATGTAAGAAGAAAGAATAATGCTTTGGTATAGATACTCACTGGTAGGATATGATATTACAGTTGACCACTCATCTCAATGTTTAAATAAACTTGCTATGAATATGATTTGTTCATCAAGCAGTATGTAAATTATTATGCTCAAAATTATTCAACTTCGGCTTTAGACATGTCCGCTATAGCTTATAGGTACTGTTTATGCATGATCTTAGAAAATGTGAATGTTGCTCCTATGCTGGTGGGAGGTAGCGCAAACTGTCCCGACACCACCATCAGTAAAAAAAAAATAAAAGGAAATCTTTTACCTATCATTCTGTAATTTAACAGTTTCCTGGTGCAAGTGTCAGAAGTGTGGAAAGCTGATCTCCTCTTTTTGTTTCTGGTGGGTCTCAGATTTTGCTCAAGGGCGCCAACGGGGATGATTTGAAGAAGATAAAACGTGTTATCCAGTATGGAGTTTTTGCTGCTTATCACCTGGCTCTGGAGACATCTTTTCTTGCTGATGAAGGTGCATCCTTGCCAGAGCTCCCCTTGAAGTCCCCAATTAAAGTTGCATTGCCTGATAAACCATCAACTATTCAAAGATCCATTTCTATGATTCCTGGTTTCTCTCTACCCATAGCCCAGAGACCGCTCGATCACCATTGCCTTGGCATGTCATCTCATTCCTCAACCAACTTGTTGTCTGGTATCACATCATCATCCAACAATACTCCAATGCTTGTTGAACAATCAAGTTTCCCTGAAGGTTCTAACTCATTAGCTAGTGCTACAACTGCCTCAAATAAGGTAGACCTTTCTGATTGTCTTAATTCCTCTCATCATTCAAGGCTTCAGTTCTCAGATCAAGCTGATGAGAGGAATAAAATGGCTCCAAATGACCCTCATGAAGAATCTCCACTGGACAGAGGTGAAGTTGCAGGAAATGATTATATACCGAATTTTCCTAGCAATGCTTTGAGGGATGCTGGTAGCCTTTCTCATGTTGTGGAAAGTTCACGCACTACTCACTTAACTTCAGAATTGTTGCTACCGGAATTTGGTAATAGTTACTTTGAGGAATTAGGCTCACTGAAGCAAGAGTTTCCTTCCTCATCTTCCGATCAGCAGAGTATTTTAGTCTCCCATTCAACACGCTGTGTTTGGAAAGGAACTGTTTGTGAGCGCGCTCATATTTCTCGAATAAAATACTATGGACTCTCTGATATGCCTTTGGGCCGTTTTTTACGGGACCAGCTGTTTGCTCAGGTAATATCTCTCTTCCTCTTTTAAAGTTACACTTGATACATTCTTTGCAATCGTGGTTTATTCTGGTAATCTTTTCTGATATATGTAATACATTTACCAGAATTATAGGTGTCCCTCATGTGAAATGCCGCCAGAAGCACATGTTCGTTGCTATACTCATCGGCAAGGCAGCCTCACAATTTCTGTAAAGAACCTACCTGAACGTATCTTGCCAGGAGAACGGGAAGGAAAGATATGGATGTGGCACAGGTGTCTGCGATGTCCTCGGACCAATGGTTTCCCTCCTCCAACCAGGAGAGTATTGATGTCTGATGCTGCTTGGGGATTGTCATTTGGGAAATTTTTGGAACTCAGTTTTTCAAATCATGCAGCAGCGAGCAGGGTCGCAAGTTGTGGTCATCTTCTTCACCGAGA